TCTTTGTATTTCGCAAAAGAACTCTGAAAAAATTGGGTACTACATAAAACATAGAAAACATTTGCAAATACTCCGGGAAAAAAACGGTCAAATTGCGTCCCAAACTGCCCACTTAAATTTACATATAGAAAAATTTAAAAAGACGCAAAAATGTTCGAACTCAGAAAGGAATGTGATTAACCATTATGGACACAGGAAAATAGATAATGGCATACTGACAATCCAATGAGCATACTCCTAACTGTCAAAACCTTGCTCTATAGGCATGTTGTACAAGCAGGCTAAATTTCCAATATATTTTGTAGTGGGCTTATTTATTCCGCCAAAAAGAACTTATAAAATGCTTTCTTTGTTTTAACAAATATCAAGGGAAGCGCTGTCGCAAGAATCAGTACTAGAGGGTTACAGTTTTGTGCCTTAAGTCGCGCCAGTCGAGATAATACGACTTTCTTCTCCCAAGGTTATGGGAAAAACCAAAAAGCAAAAATTATGTCCTCATAAACTTCGTAGATTACAATTTTGTTTAGAAAAAAAAGAACGGCGTCGTTGAAACACGAGGTTCAAAGGAGCCTTACTTGCGAAATGACTATCACGAAGAAACGCAAAACTACAGCGAAATTGGCAAACAATATCAGTATTTTTTTCGAAGGGTCTGTAAGGTGCCCGAATAAAAATCCTAGAGGATTAGCTCGACATTAATGCCTAATTAGCCATGCATGAAGAGATACATTCGCCCATGCGTTTTCTATGTATCTTTCGAAACAGTTATAATATTTGGTCTGCCAAAGTAATGCAATTTGTTAGTATACATACACTTTTCTCCAGTGTTGCTTCGTCTGGATAGGACGAACGCGATTGTTCGAACTCGTAGGCAGATCGTTTGGATACGATCAAGGCCTTTTTAAGTGGGGAAAGTTGTTTGCCCGGGATATCCGATAGCGTTCGAGAAAAAATCCGAAGGGGAGTAAGCACAGAAGATAAGAGCACAGCCGGTGCGCCACACATATTGCCGACAACCGAGCATAAGATCTGAGATCGCATGCGCTCGGTTGGCGCGCGTCTATATTTACAATATTCTAATAAACTTTAAGGTCACGAAATTTCAGATGGTGAAATTTTAATTTTCATTTAGAACCGTGCATTATACTGGAAGCTTTAATTTCATTTACCTTCTTACAACCGTCTTGAATACAATGGTTTTCCAAAATGATCTTAATGTGATCAATGAATGGTCATTGGAGATCAAGATTCCGGTCAAAGTAAACAAATCACACATGCTGATAATAGGGAGAAACTGAGACCACCCTCCCTATACAATTGGCAACATGACACTGGCAGCTGTTAGGAGTACTCGTGACT